GGGCGCAGCGCGGCGCGGCGTGTGCGCGGCCCCGCGGGAGGCGGCGGCGCAGGCGGGGGGAATCCAGGTCACGTCCGCAGCCAGACGGCGGCTGGCGGGAGGGACGCGGCGAGAGGCACCGCACCGCGCCCGGCCGGGTGGCGAGGGGCGCGGGGCAGGCGGGCCACTCCGCTCCGCCGGTAAGTCACCCGCGCACCCGCTCGGCGGGCAGCGCGCCTGGCCGCGGGCGTGGGCGGGCGGGGGGTGCCGGCTCCGCAGGTTGGGAGTCCCGGCGCGCCCCCGCGGAGCGCCGCGCAGCCTGCCGTCCGCCCGGCGCTGCTGGGCGGGCGCGGGGCAGCCGAGCCGCGCTCCCCGGCCGCTCACTATATTTAGCTGTCACCGGCGGGGAGAGCGGTAGCAGAGGCGCGCAAACGCTGTCGGGGAGGGAGATTCGCCGGCCCGTCGGGGCGCCGCCCGCCCGCAGCATCCGGGGGCGGCGGGGGGCGAGCGGCGGCGCGGCCCGGCGGGGAGGGCAGGGACGGAGCCGCGGCACCGCCGGTATTCATCACCGCGGGGGGCGGCGGTGCCGGGCGGGGGGAGCGGCGGCGCGCACGGCTGCCGGCGCTTCCTGATTTATTTATGTTTGCAGCATAGGTGGTATTTCCCCGTTAAAGAGTTTATGCATTGAACTTCTGTTTGACTTTCTAAAGTGGCGATGACAACAACAGCAACAAAAATCTGCGAAGTTAAAAAAGTCAAATGTGTTAATTGTTAACTAAATATAGAAGAAGAAGGCTTGGAAGCTGTAGTAGGTGGATTGATCAGGCAGCGTATGAGTAAAAAGGAAAAGGGGAAATTGTCAGCCCTACGAAGCCAGTTGCCGGTAGGAAGGATCGCACCTGTTCTGGTGAGTGGCAGGAGCCCCATAGCCCCGTGGTCCCTAGAAACCTTGTTTGCCCTCCTGTGATCTGAACGGAGGAAGGCGAAACACAGGTTAAAAATGCTGTAATAAATACCAGCTCTGACCAGGAAGGCAGACGGGATGTTTTTTCTACAGTATAAGCCGTGTTCCCTTTATTATTTTAACTTAGCACAAAATTCATGCATTCCAACTGAGCCATCTGCTAGTTACAGTAACATATTTGGCATTTATTTACAAAACTTAGTCTGTCATAAATATATGTTTGCTTAATTGATAGACTAGATTTTTTTTATAAAAAATGGTTTGTTTTCCTGTTACAGTTCAGTACTACTCGTATGTTGAGACAATTTACTAGATTTTCTGATTCCTATTTTCCCAGCTCCAACTTTTGAATAAACATTTGAGAAGAAAAACTGAAACAACAGAGCAAAGGTTTTGCTCTTTATAAGAAATTTGTTCTTTATAAGAAATAGTAACAAGGTAATTTTCAGAAGACCTTACCACGATCAATTCAGTTTCATTGGTTAGCTGTATTGCCTTACAGTGAGAGGCTTGAGTTCTCTCCCTTACTTTGAACTGTAAATAATATAGCTATATGAATGTATAGCCTTTTTTGAAGAGAAGAAGCTGGGCTAAATCATTGGGAAATATAGCTGTTCACTTTCTCATAGAACAGCTGTTTAAGGCACAATAAAATCAAAAGTTTTGTGAAACTGTATATGCCTACTTCCTTCCTTCCTCACAAGACTTTTTTTTCTTTTCTACTAACTGGCATGAAATCACCCTTCATATTAGTCCCAGGACCTTTAAATTAGTCTCAGCCTTCTTCCAGTTTATTTGAATTGGTGACCTTTGGATGAGCTGGTATGTTCCATTGTTACTTGCTAACGATGGAATAATCTAGTCCTGACGTACCAGTTGTGAAACCGAGGACACTGCTGCTGGATGGTCCTGAGGAAATTTAAAAGTCTCATGGCTCCATGTTGGAAAAGGGAGGATTTAGCTGTGGTTTTTATGTGCTTCTAACTGTGTGGAGTATAATAATTCAGAGCTCAAAGGGCTCAAACCAAAGTCTGTTAGAGTCGGTGGAAAATTTCCCATTGATTTTTACTGGTTTTGGATAAAGGCTTCTATGAGCTGGAGTTGAGCACATCATGGCTACTCCAACTTGTTCAGTGCTTTTGAAATTCTTTGCATATCCAAGTCATTATGTAACGTCAATTTTTTTTGTGCTGTCACCTGTTTGGGAATGTTCTTTTGCTTAGTAGAAAGTGGTGGTAGTGTTTTTGTTCACTCTTATATGCTATAGCATTAATTTTATTATCTGATCATTTCTTGCTATGTGAGGACAACATATGGGGGATTTTG